TTAACTTTAAACATTTTTATATAATTTTAATTAGCTTTATAATTGAATATGGAATATTATTTATTTAATTTGAGCTGTTATTATTATAATTATTACAATTTTAAAAATATTAATTAGTAATCTACATTTAAAAAAAAATAAGTCATATCGAACAATCAAGACTAACAAGAATCTGTTACTTAAGAATATTTTATTACGAAATACTGTTTGTACAGATGAATTTATGTGATAATTTATTGATACTAATATTTTATATTAATCCTAAACAGACTGTCTTGAGTTTTAATTTATTTGGAGCGCGAACATGTTAGTTCTCTTTTAAATAAGAACTAAAAATATGCTAAATCTAATTATACGTATTATATTCAATTATTTGATTTTATTTTATATATATATTTTCACGATATAAATCTATGGTAACTAACAATAATATCAAAAGCTAAACGTCTAGACTGTAGATCTTTAGTCTATCCTGGTATTATATGATGAAGAAATAGGATATAAACAATAATATACGTACACGCATTAAGTACAATTCCACGCTTGTGTCACTCAATGTTATCTGACTCGCCCTGTATCTAATTTATATTAAAATAATTACGGTACGGTACTGACAAGGAAAATATATTGTAAATTGATATTTGCATTGTAATTATAGCGTTATCCTTTATATATATATATATATATATATATATATATATATATATATATATATATAGCAATCCACGAGGCGTTTATCAAATTTAATTATACTCTTCCTACTTGGTCTACATGATGTTTTCATGTTAACTGCACCTAAGCAAAAATCTATAGGTACATATAATAAAATTGTAACTAAGTCGAATCTGCACATTAAATATTTTTTGGAAAATCTTATTGGAATAGATATTATTATCGATACAGAGTCTGAATCTGTAGTTTTTAGAATTTTTGTCTGTCTGTCCGTATCCGCTATTACCGCATCACGGAAAAACCACTGGACGAAACGAAACTGGACTTTAATGAAATTTGGTATGATGATAGCTGGTTATCCGCGTCAACATATAGGATACATACTTTGTACTCCGACGGAGCCGCGGGCAATGCTAGTATATTATAAAAATAAAAAATCAGACTGCATACATATCGGAGACATAAGTAGGTACAATGTACATCTCGCGGCAAGGATGAAAGGTGTAGGTACCTATGTCTCCAACTGTATAATACTATATTCCTTCTTCAACTTATTTTCACTTTTTTAGGTAGCCTTTATACAGTTGGGATTTATTTTTATATTTAAGTACAGCTTTTTAGTTTCTACCAATTAGACATTTGAAGTAAAATTTAGTAATTTTTTATCCTAAATTACTTTTAAACATATATGTTGTACATATTATTGTGATCGCCTCTTAAAAACCTTTATTTTGATACCCCACTCGAATGGTTTGAAAGATTTTTTTAAACACACAAATTTGCGTCTGAAATCTGCCTTTTAATTTTTAACTATTTTTATATAGCCTATGAAAATCCGTTATCAAGACGAATCTAACGACGTACGAATCATCAAAATCGACCCACGCGTTTGCGTTGCGTTCTAGAACGCCACATAGGAACTAACATACATACATATATATACATAGACTGATAAACACATTACCCTCCTTTGCGTCGCGCAGTCGGGTAATAAACAAAATAATGATCTAATCTCCTTTACAGAGCAACTGCTGATAAGCTTTGCTTATTTTTAATATGAATAGGGCTGTGTGCACGTGTGTGTGTGTGTGATTCTCTATTACATTTACTCGTAGATATTTTTAAAATATTAAAACAAAAACCTTTACAATTTACATGTTCATTAACCATTTCAAGGTTATTTCAAAGACTATCAATTTTACACTTCGAAATCTTGATTTATGACATCATGTTTAAAACACTACCTACCCATAGTATAACAAATGATATATAAAAAAATCTAATTAGATCCACCTACGAAGACACGATTATACAATGTAAGTATCGCGTGTATCATACAATAATTGTCAGTCCACGAGGTGTGAGCGCGAGAGGATCGTCACGTAGGAATACGACCGCCGCGCTGCGCTCTGACTCAGTGGCAGACGTGATTGATTGCACTGATTGCAATGAACGCGGTAACAATGAAAGTCACGCAATTCTCCACCACTTGCTGTGTAAATTCTTTAAAGCGATTATACAATGAGCAATCTCTATTTATCTATTTGGACGTAACAAGGTAAATTACTGGGTTTCCTCTGGCCTAGAAGATCCTGAGGAATACTCTTAACATTGTATGCAAAGGTTCAAATTCTTTAAAATATCTTAAATAAATAAATATAAATATGTTATGGTATTAACACACAGCACCATCTAGTTACATGTTAAGTTCTCGTAACTGTGCCTGTGTTATGGATACCAGATATTTAATAGACTACACATATATAAATTTAAATACATATTTATAAATATAAACACCCATGGCTAGAATAGAAATATACGTGTTCATCACATAAATGAATAACGCCAGCAGGACTCGAAGCCACGATCGTTGGCACAACAAGTAGGGTACTACAAACTGAGCCAAACGTGTCATCTATCTTGAAATTGAATTTCAAAATGTGAAACTATAATAACACTAATTTGAATTAATTATCAACAGGTTTTGTTGTAATTTCTCTTTTCTTTAATATTAATATTATATTATCTTTTCTTTAATAATAATATTAATATTTGGTGGGTAGATACTGTCTGTAACAATTATATAATGGCATTTGAGAAGTCTAAAACCTTAGTCTCTCCCGTGACCATGTGCGCTTTAAATCATTCGAAACGTCGCGGTCTCGAACCATAATCAAGTAAATCCGCGAAAAATGCGAAAAGACAGTTTTATTTAAAATTGGGTTAGTTATGAGAAAACTGGGCTGATTTCTTTATACGTATACCGAGCATCTTCAAGTTCTTATTCTTCTTCTTTATAGAATTGATAGACAGAACGAAGTATTACTTCTCTTTCGCTTATTGACACATTTCTTCGCGTTATACAGCAAAGATTGTTTTAAAATATAGCCCGAGATAAACATCTGTATCAATCGAACATCGAACGATCTAGCAGACGTTGTGACAGACATTTTCTCCTTTTTTGCAAATATAGGCGTCATTTTCGACTTTAACTAAGATATATGTGTGTATGTAATCCAAAAGAGAATCCTAGTCACTAGTGTATGGTTGACGCTTGGTAGAAGGATACCCGAAAACTAAGTTTATTAATTATGTTTATACAGAAGGTGCTACATTTTCTTAAACCAAGATATTTTTTGGTATGCGTTTATTAAATAATAAATAAATAAATATGTTGGGACATTAATACACAAAACCATCTAATTCCATGGTAAGCACAAAGCTTGTGTTATGGATACCAGATAGATGATACACTACATATATATAACTTTAAATACATACATATTATAAATGTAAACACCCACGACTGGAGTACAAACATTCGTGCTCATCACACAAATGAATGCTCCCAGCGGGACTCGAACTCGCGACCGCTGGCACAGCAAGTAGAGTCACTACAAACTGAGCCAAACGTGTCGTCAACTTACGTTATTAAATGTAGAACTCAGGACTTTCTGTATAAGCCGACTAATTAAAAATGCTACTCATCCATTAACAAGACGACTCGACCTAACCTTATGTAGGAAGTCATTTCGCATTATCTGGATAAATCGGTATCTATTGTCCCTGACTCTAGAGGTCAAATTAAGGTTCTTATATCCGTATGATTCGAAGCGTAATGTTTTATTAATTATTAAAAGACGTTTATTAGTAAATTAATCATAAGCCCATAAAGGTTTTAACATTAATGGAAATAATTTACTTTGCTTAGTTGTTCATTTATTTATTATAGAAACTATAAACTTTATTACAAACTATAACTTTACTTATTGTTAGATGAAGAATTATTCTCGTATATAAATAATCCCATTAATATTATAAATACCATTGATCTCTACTAATCTATACTTAATTAATATTATAAAGAGGTAAAGTTTGTAAAATGAGAGTTTGTGACGTTATAGGGGGTAATCTCTGGATCTACTGATGACCGATTTAGATGAAATTTGGTAAGAAGATAGTTTGAGACCTTGGGAAGAACATATTTTTTATCCCGGAAATCATCCCTTAATATAATAAATGTGAAAGTTTGAAAGGATGGATGGATGGATGTTTGTTACTCTTTCACGCTAGAACAGATCTGGATGAAATTTGGCACAGAGATAAATTATAGTGTGGAATAGCACCTAGGTTTTTATCACGGAAAATGTACGGGTCCCTTGGGACAGATTTGTTTTTTGTTATTCACTTTGCTAATTCAAATACAAATAAAACATGAATAATATAACTTAAACCGCTCATATTACTGTTTATTTGTTACTTTACGAATTTTTATCAGTCTCAAAATTGATTAGACCAGATATAGAATTATAGAGGCATGCTATTAGACTGGTTGTTATTAAATAACAGTCGAGTCGCTCAATCTATTATCATTATCTATTCTAACTAAAAATATACAAGTACCTACAAGAGATATAATTATTGATAATATTAAACTAGCTATTAGCCACGACAAATATCTGAAAAAAGTATCTCATTATTTTCAGTCACCTTTTAAATTTTCCCCTTTAATATACATATTTTCCAAAAATCCTTTCTTAACCCTATAAAATTTGTCCTAATTTCATCATTCTTAGTATTGTGGGTAAATGTAAAGTGATTTTAGGTATTTTGTTGTATTCCATTAGAATTACAATAAACTTGGAATTTAAAACGATTTTCATTTTCGAGTCATAATGCCCATTTATCAACCATGAAAAAAATGCTAAAAACTGCTTTTTTTTACTTAGGTCTCTATAATTTTAAGGGTACGCACACTCAAAATAAATAAATTAAAAAAAAATATATATATATATATATATATATATATATATATATATAATACTTACCCTGTCATGAAATTTGTGTGCGTCGTACTTCCTCTCCGCGCATAGGTTGTATATCATGTAGTGACCTTTGTGCATCTGCTCTAGGAACCTGTAGACTTCGTCTATGTGGTTCCTGTAAACACCTTCTAATTTCTCCGCTGGGAATCCCATTGCTATTATTCTGTCTGTTATATCTGATTTTGTGTTTAAGGAAATAGCTTGGCATGAAAACATTAATTAAACATAACAACATTGAAATAAAGCAAAACATCAAGTATGAAGATACTGGAAACAATATTAGTTTAAATATTAGATATCTCATGATAATAATTGAAATCGAAATAAAGATAAAATACAAATATTTAAGTACTTTTGGTATCGACCACACTTGAAAGGAAAAGAACTTATAACCTGTAATCATTTATAGCCATATTAATAGACGAAACGGTACAAATACGGTACTGTAAAGTTTAATAAAATCTTGTCTAATTACATTATTAGAAAATCTAAGATGCATGTACTAACAATTTTTATTTAAGTAAATTGAATCACTACACTATAACTTGTTGGACCTAGATAATTCTTTATACTAGGCATTTTCAAAGTATACATCTAGAGCTCCTAGGGTCTATGCTCGGCAAATTTAAATCGACATAAAGAATAAAGTGTAATATTATGTCTTTATCTTTATAATAAATTATTGAAGTAGATGAAAAGTAAATACACACTTCCTTCATCAACATTAAAATCCAAGCGATTCAAAAAATACTCTGTACCTAACAGATACTTAGTGTTATGTATAGTATTTATTTGGTATGATTTATTTTACAGGGGAATATAAAACCACGATTTGCTTATTTTAGAGTATCGTCACCAATAGAGTTTGTGAACCGCTGCCCGCTGTCTATAATTAAACAATATGTAAGCACTTGCTTCGTGACGGAATCAAACTGGTAAGAGTTTTAGAAGACAATAAGTAATTTAAAAAATCGCAGTCAATATTTTATTAGGATACGGTCACAAATACAGGATTCCTTGTCGTGCGGTCACGTGGGTAACAGTTACTAGCACCGTTTTATGTTAAACGGATGGATCTAGACATAGAATAAACGAGTTTTGACTAAAATCTATTATTATTGGCATTTGATATTCATATAATATGTGCCTGTATATAAAAGGCTTTTTTAGTTTTGACATTAAGGTACTTAAGTGTAAACTTTTTTGTATGTATACATAAATTAAAAAAAGGTTGCAGTTTATTAGAAATTTTTACAAAATATGTTACATATTGCATTTTTAAACTTGTGTTGGACTACGGCTTCGAGTCCAAACGTATAATGCAAATATATTATCTGTATTGTACATGTAAAAATTTCATGGCAAACCTGAACCAGCTGGGAAGTGGATAATATTAAAAACGTCTTTATATAAAATCACTTATGCGTATATTGTGTCAAAACTGCAAAGAAATCGGTAAAGAGCGTTTATATTTTTATTTATCTAGACAAATAGAGTATGACTGTATGTGTATAATATCTATATATCTATATATCTATATATATATATATATATATATTATATATATATATATAATAAATATATTTAACTGCCTCGGTGGTGTAGCGGCTAGCATGTACGGCTGCACACCTGGAGGTCCTGGGTTCGAGTCCCGGGTCGGGCCAAGTTTAGTTATTGAGTCTTTCTGTATAGAAAGACTCAGTAATAGCCCGGAGTTGGGAAGTTGGCGGTGTTTCACCCCCGTGCCTCGGAGAGCACGTAAAGCTGTCGGTCCTGCGCCTTATCTCTCACCGGTCGTGTCGAGTAGTCGTCCCATCGGAGTATGAGAGTGACAGGAATAGAGAGTGCACTTGTGTCTGCGCGTACACTTGAGCACTATAATATCTCCTGCGCAGTTGGCTAGTCTCAATGAGATTGGCCGCCGTGGCCGGAATCGGTCAGGAGAACATCATCATCATATATATATATATATATATATATATATCTATATATATATATATATATATATATATATATATATATATATATATATATATATATATATATAGATAATATATATATATATATATATATTATATATGTATATATTAATCATATTAAAGGTCATAGTAATACACAGAGCTTTTCAAAAATGTGTGTTTATGTGATGAACAGAATTATTTATTATTTGGGCCCATATGTGGCTGTGGGCTAAATAGAATATACACAGAGGTGGGAGTAACCGCTAGAAGTGACCAGTGTCTGATATAGCTAATGCAAACATTTCAAGCATGAAAACAAACCTGCAACCTACGTCACAGTAAACAGTGCTAACTGCTGTCAATTTATCTAATAAATACTAATTTTTATTTATTCATTATTTTAGGCTATGCACAAAATGAAATCGTCTGACATCGCCCAAGTAATAAAAAACTTAAAAGCCGATGACCGGACACATTGCGTCATACAATGTAAATGATGAAATGCAAAATTATGAAAAGTTTGAGGGCAGCTGATAAGACTTAATACAGAATTTATAGCGGGCACGTTAGGGCTTGGAGCACAATTTAATTTTCACACACTTTACGTGCAACGTAGCGGATACTTCTTACTCTTAGTTAAATTAAACTACAGCTTAGCGTATGTAAAGATGTGCATTCAATGAATACATTTGTATAGTATGAACGAAGCCTAACAACGAGTGGGTACATACGTCCGGACGCGATAAATTTCAAATTGTATAACAATCCATACAGATAGCACGTAATGGCTACATAGATGACAAGGGGAAATGAACAAAAGGAGGCTTATTCGCGCAATGTTAGAATTTCCATATATTAATTAAGAAGGCATTTTGCATTAAAATTCACTATTTTCATTGTCCAATTGTACATATTATCATTATAACTTTGAAATTTACATAATAATTTATTAAAATTGTATTGATCATACTTAAATACTGCTCTCAAGTACCACATCGTCATATAAATATTTTTCTAAATCGTTTGAAGCCATATGGGAATCTTGATTCTTCTCCTATATAGATTAAAAATCTAAAAATCGGGCTAATGCAAAACTGTAGCGGTTTCCACAATGTTACATATACACTTCTAAGGTCATACCGTAGAAGCCTATATGTAACTACGTTTAACTATTGGCTTAAGTAGAAAAGTTGTAAAAAAATCTATCTAATTTTTAAAGATCTATTTATAAATAAATACCCCACAAACTTATGTGGATTCAATTTTTTATATATGTATGATGTGACACCCTAATTTATTTTTTAATTTTCGTATTTTAACTACAACGATTTACATGGGACGCCCAATTTCCAAAAGTAGTTTATAGAACTAGAAGACTCCGAATAAAATGGCTGTGACATACACAAACAGACGGTTGACAAAACTATCTACAAAAGTTCCGTTTTTGCGTATCGGCTACGGAACCCTAAAGATATATATATCACTTTCTAATTTCCTTAGCAAGAGACAATCAGAAAATGTTATGATAACAATTATTAATTTAGTATTATGTACAAATTATAATTATGTTCTATTGAAAATACTATAAATATAGTGGATTCTATATATAATATAATCTAATATATTGATTGAATGAAAAACTGTCTATTTTATTATATTATTATAATTATAAACTTAAACTGAAGTGTTCTAATTTAAATATAACCTTGTTTCATTATTTTATATTGAAACCAAGATATCAATTTAGCTGAATATCCAATTATTGAAATTTAATTAACATTCTAACTGTATTTTGGCACATCTCCACATGCTCTTCCGGTTTATGATTAACAAATATATTCCGTAAGTTTATTTTACTGGTTCTAATAAATTTGTCTGTTCGGCCTTTTGTTGGCCCCTGACAAACCTAACACCTCCAATTTACTGCCTTTCGAAAATAAATTTACGATCGGTTGCCTTTAAAAAGTGATCCAAAAAATATTGAGGCTCTAGACGCTTTTGTTATCTCAACATCTACATGGACATGGCTCGCTTTATTTACAGCTAGCTTTTTGAAGCGTTTTCGTTATTTTAGGATTTATTTGATTATTTAAACATAGTATTATAAAATGGTTTTTATATTTCTAGCAATCTCTCGGCTATTTACTCGTGTGCCCTTTTCAGTACTTTCAATCGAGTCTGAAGTTTCAACGTGTAAATAACATGATTTTCTCTACAATTCTTTTTCACATAACTTTACTCCATAGCTGTTAATATCAGTGTTTCTAAGTTACATGAAAACCACTCCCTTTTAGCCGTAAAATAAAAGCAGACAATTTTTGAATTCACGATGTTAACTTACTTAAGATTTAATTATTATTTCATCGCTCTACAAAATAGAGTAAGCCTTTGAAGTCAATAAAGCTCCTGACTTTCACTGACAGACGGTTCTTCTGCATAATTTTTATCATAAAGATATTTAATTTCACAAGCTCTTCAGACGTAGTTAACATAGAAAAAATTAATGAACTTACGAAATAGCGGCGACTTGACGTAACACCTGACTGGAATACGAAATTAAGGCTCAATTCATATTATATTAAAATTGAGCTCGCAATTTTTTGCATTATTTCTGACATGTCCTGTGTCGATAACACTTGATTGTCAACATGTTGAATGATGTTTTTAGTTATCATATTTACCCTCATTAGCGACCTTAAGTCATAAGAATAAACAAACCATATCTATCTATATTATAGAAGTAAAGTTGGTGTGTTTGTTTGTAGGAAATAATCTCTGGAACTACTGAATCGATTTAGATGAAATTTGGTAAGATAGTTTGAGACCCTGGGAATGATATAGGGTAGTTTTTATCCCGGAAATGATCTCTTAGTAAAAATGGGGTTAAAAGTTTGTATGGGGAATCAACCTAGGGACGAACCCGATCCCGGGGGAGAAGCCAACTCCTACCGGGCGCGTCCCCAGGTGGCGGATAGGGGAATGCCACCCGCTTAGGGCGGCGGGTGGTACCGGAGAAATCCGGCGCGGACCAAATGGCTTGGATGGGGCCGCTCGTCTAGGCCTCGAGCCGAAGACGTTGCGGCCACCGGTGGTGGGACCGCTTGGTCCCACAACCGGATGATGGGTGCCGGTTGCGGGACTGTGGTCGCAGGCCCGCATCCGGCGGAGGGGTAGGCCGCGGCGGGAGAGGAGTGCCGGTATTTCGGTGCGCCGTT